CAGGGGTCTCCAAACTACGGCCCGCGGGCCGGATGCGGCCCGCGAGGTCCTCTCATCCGGCCCGCGGAAATCTTGTTGTCCACGGAAAAAACGTTTGTTGGTGATAGCTGAGGAACTTTGCCCAGAAAAATCAAAGACAGGACTGGAAGAAATTGGCCCCCGAACTGAAATTTGATAGTCAATGCGGCCCTCGGACTGAAAAGTTTGGAGACCCCTGAGCTAGATGATAATTACGAACAACAAGACTTTGTCAGCGTCTCTCTCTCCACTCTGGTCTGTGTTGGCTGCTCCAGCAATGTTTATGTTTATGTCATTTTAAATGAAAAATATAAATCTTTGCTTTTAGATATAATATATTTTATAGCAAAATAATTAACCGTTTTTTCCTCCAAAGATATTAATATATTTAACTCAATTTGCAACCATAATCAGCATGCTTATATTTATTCATTGTTTTTTCGGCTTATTCTTGTAATGAATGTCTGCCATCCAAGTAAAATATAAAGGCAAGTCCGTGTTGTAGTTTATACTTCTAATGGAGACTTCAATAATAAGAAACACATCTGCCCTCCATGTACTCAATACTTTTTATAGGTTAACTCAGTGTAGCAAAGTTAAACTTATAGGTGCCGAGAATATAAATTTATATTTATTTTATAGTATACAATGCTGTATTATGTAATACATGACGTTTTTAATTTCAGCATCTACAATGTAAATAAAAGTTAATGTGTTTAGATAAGAATGATATTACGATAATATAGAGAAAGTTGTATTACTTATGAATTGGCACACATCCTTCAACATAGTGTCACATTTATTAGCTGGCATATTAAAACATGGATGAACGTACATGATATTTTTTCTTTAATTGTGAATATTGGTAATGAATGAACTAATTTTGTACAGCTAATTGATGCTTATCTAAGAAATGACATTAGGCAAATTTTCAGGAACCCTCTCGTAGTAGCACATTTTAAAACCGTGTTATGCAAACTGAAAAACACGCTTAATGAGTGAAATTCTTGCTTTTGTAAAGACATAATATTAATGGTGTCATCAATAAATGACGTTACTTTTTTGACAATTTTTAACTCCCCCCTTCCCTCCGTCTCACGTTGTCACAAAAAGCCAGACCCCGCCCCTAAAATGACGTCACACCGCAACCTATACCCCCCCCCCCCTAAAAATTGCTGTTGAATTTTTCCAAAATCTTGTCAGATCTCTGTCTCTGGCTAAAAAAAACTTGTTTTCAAACATTTCTTTTTTTATAATGCAAAAAGTGACGTCACACCATCTGACCCCCTCCCCGTCCAAACCCACCGTCACAAAATTACGGACTACCCTCCCCCTACGAGTGTGACGTCATTTATGGACAACCCCAATAGATGAACTATAACCACCCACACTTAAAGAGAATTATGTATTTTCTTTTTTGTTTTCTAATAAAACCTTGATATTCATTTTTTTACAAGCTTTTATTTAACTCTGTCAGTCGTCAGTCGTCAGTCTGTCTAGATCGAAACGCAGGAGCGAAATTGCAGGCACTTCTATCTGACAGATACGGTTCGTGATTGATACGTATGTCAAGACACGAAGACAATGCATCGTGACATTAATCTGACTTAACTGGTCTCCTGATTAATTTGTTATGAATTAATTAAAATTTTGACAACATTTGTAGGCAGTTCTATGCACACGCGTCATCACGGCTTCGCAATGGTTTTTAGTCATGTTACTCTATTGTAAATGAAAACATGTAAAGTACTAAATTTGTAAAAATAAAACGTTCAAATAACAAGCTTTTATTAGTCATATAAAAAAATTCACAAAAAACGTTTTAATAACAAGCTTTTATGTAATAATGCACTAAAAAGTAGAAAATAAATTATAAATTATTTTCTTTATAGTAATTTAAATAGTAGTGTATAATTTATTTTCTACTTTTTAGTGCATTATTACATAAAAGCTTGTTATTAAAACGTTTTTTATGAATTTTTTTTTTACAATGCACACAATATTTGCACAGTGTAAAAAAATGAAAATAGAAAAAGAAGGGTTTGCACCAAAGTAGTGCGCTAATGGTTGATCAAGATGTTGCAAGTTTTTAAAAATGATCTGCGTATTTAAGTGAATAAGTAAAATTGCATACATTTACAAAGACGAAAATATTGCAAGGGTTAAAATTACGGCTACATATGTAAGTTTTGAGCCATTAACGCTAGATCTAGTTGTATGTGCATCATTTATTTCAGTGTAAAGCCCTTAGCCCCAAGCATCGAAGGTTAATCATGAATTGTTTCTTATAGATCTATATATAATAGATCTAGATCTAGATCTAGTAGACAATTCGATTTAACACCTTGTGTATTATGCCTTATGGTGTTTAACTGCGTAAACTGCACGGCAGTTATTTAAAAAAAATGCAATTGTACTGAAATGTTAAGTATGAATCATAGGCTATTTATTTAAACTGTTTACTTTCGACAGTACATGAGTTTAAGGAAAATTCTGGTTATTGTTCAATGTGTTTGTTTAATGTAAATGCTATTTCAATAGAGTGAGGTAAAATTAGAGCTAGGAAAGACGTTTATTATGTTAGCTGTAACTTTTGTATCATTACGAAACTTTTACTTGTAATTTAAGAGTTTTTAAATTTCTTACGTTATCCCTTGCTTACATATTTGTAGGTCTAAGTTAAGTTTGGGCTGGATATTTAATAGTTTGGTACCATGTGTTACTCGTAACTCGGGCTAAAACTAGTTCTATCTTTCGGCTTTGCCTGAAACCTTTTACATTAAACAGATAATATTATCTTTTATCCAAATGAACCATGTCCGTAATCATTGTTATATCCTCGATACTGCCTAAAATTGTTCTTAATATTAAAATGGTTGTATTCAGCCATTGTATTTTATCTGTTCGAAATACGATGTAAAGTTTCATACCAAAGTGTGGTGAATGTTTACAATAGCTATGAGTATATAATAGGATAACTTGTTGACAAATTATGTCGTTTCGTATCACTTTTATTGCTAGGGAGTAATAGTTGAGATCCCATGGGTTAGTAAGTTGTAGTTGCTCCGTTTTTGTATTATTTATCATAAGGGTTGAATAATGGCATACAAGTAGCGTGAGCGATTGTTTTGTAGGATTTTGGCTAGGGCTAGTTGAATGTGAAGTGTGTTGAGCAAGAGGGGAGTAAATTACCAAAACATTTGTATAGTAAAAACATTTTTTTCGGTTTTGATTAACTTACATAGTGGTATGATAATCAATGATAAGTTACCTTATATTCACGTTTATGGCTACTATTTTTAATGAATTTATTAAGATAAACTTGACACATTTCTGTTGTTATGTTAGAAAAATTAGGTTCGTCTTTATCTATTATGAGTGCTGTAGATGGCTAAACAGTTGATTTGTAACTCATGAAGCGCTTCCTAATTCCCTATTTGTACAATATTATGCTGTAGTCAGTAGCGTAGCGAGGGTGGGAGGGGGGGGGCATATGTCCCTGGGCGCCGACCTTAGGGGGCGCCAAAATGCGTCGGAAAAATAAATTGAAAGGTTGAGGGGGTGCAAATCGAAATCTTGAGGGGGGGGGGTCTGCAAATCGAAAAGTTTGTCCCCGGGTGCCGGGAAGGGTCGCTACGCCTCTGGCTGTAGTGAAATAATATCTAAACAGTCTCTGAAACAGAGAAATAAGATAAGCAAAATAATAAGACTTATTATGTTTAATAAACCATCCAATTCAACATAATTTGGTAAGTTGTTATTAAATAAATTTAAACAGGTTAGATATTTCTTAAAGTTTATTTATGTGCATGCAATGCCAACGCTCATTACTATGTGTTGATAAATTACATAAGCATTAATCGATGTATCTGCAGGTACTACAACAAAAGCAGCAGGGACTGGGTTGTATCTACTGATCGTTTATCAATGAAGTAAAAACTATCTAGTTTTGAACATAAGTAGCTTGACATAAAGCAAGTATGCAGAGTTATACTTATAGTGATTTCGACGATTTCTTTATTGACGATGAATACGGATATTTTTGGGATTCTCCATATGAAGAGGATTTGAGTGATCTCGACGACTTTGAATCTGTTGAGACACAAGAGTAAGCCAAAGCTTTTCTTTTTTACCTAAAAATGTTCTATCTTATTGTAAAAGTAAAGTTCCGGACTATAGGGCAAGTGAAGTAGAGTTGACTTGTTTCTGTGACCTCGGCATATGAAGAGATAGTGTGGTCAGCACTATGCCCAGCCGCTTTTACGTTCCCTAACATGAGTTAGGTACCCATCAGAGTTGGGTGGACTCACGGACGGTCTACTGACTTGAACCCGGATTATCTTATTGCATTTCCTATTTTATTATCAAGAAATTTTAAGTTGCATTTTGTTATTCGATATTTTTCTTTCCAGTACAATCAATATTACTTATGTTGGCAAACCTACCAAATACATTTTTTAGTCCTGATTACAATCAATAAATAACAGTATTTTAATTTTAAAATGAAAAGTATCACTCCAGTACTAGCGCCCGTCACGGCTCTATTGTTCTAAACAACATTTTATGAACGACAGCTCACCAGACGGTTCGAATGATCCCTACCCAGTGGCGTAGCGAGGTCGGGTGTTACCCGGTGCGGCACTTAATGGTGTCACCCCTCCCAGAGGCGTAGCGACCCTTCACGGGGACAAACTTTTAATTTTCGATTTTACCCCCCCTCCCCTCAAACTTTTGATTTGCACCCCCTCCTCAAACTTTCGATTTGCACCCCCCTACAAACTTTCGATTTCCACGCCCCTCAAATTTTTCTGTATATATTTTGCTATTTTTTTGCCTTGGTGTCATATAAATAAATAAATATATATATATATATATATATATATATATATATATATATATATATATATATATATATATATATATATATATATATATATATATATATAATTTTTTATTTTTTATTTATTAAAGGTCGTCTAACATCATGACTACTTCAGCAATTTGCACACACATTGTTAAGGGTCTAGAACACATGTGGTCAGATCAAATGTTGTTTGATTTTACTGTCAAAATCGAAGACGAAACAATCAAATGCCATCGCCTGATCTTAGCCGCATGTTCGGATTTTTTTCAAGCACTTTTTCGTTCAGGCATGCGAGAAGTCACCGAGAACTGTGTGGTTCTACAGGAGGTTTCATGTGACGTGTTTACGTTAATTCTGAGGACATTGTACACTGGTGTAGATATTTTAACTTCCCAAAACCTGCTGGATGTTTGGCGAGCAGTTCACATGCTGCAGATCTCTTTCATGGTCAAGTTGTGTGAGGACTTCGCTATTGAAACGGTTACGATGGATACGTGGGAAAAGGTTTACACAAATGCTAAACTTTTAGATTCAGAATACGTTCTTGAACACCTCCAGAAATTCATGATAAAAAACTTTGAACAAATTTCCCTGACATCAACATTTCTTCAACTATCGTTTGATGAATTAAGGAATTTGATAAAATGCCAAGATCTAGTAGTAAGCAAAGAAGATTTAGTTCTTGAAGGAGTGATTCGATGGGTCAATTTTGTTCAGATAATGCCAGCTGAGTTAAAAGAAAGTAAATGTACATTGAATGTTTGCCAAGATGAAGATTCAAATAAAGTTGACCATATGATACTAGATTCTAGTGGTACAACTGACTTTGTAAAAAATGAGATAGCTCTGAGAAAGGAAAAACTTACAGGTCTATTAAAAAAGATCAGGATCTATCTTGTTAGTCCTTCACTTTTGTCTCATGTATACAAGATGGACTTAATATCTGAAAATAAAGATTCAAGTGACATAATTGTCGATGCTTTATTATATCACGTTCAAGATCTGAGACAAAGTCATTGGCCATCCGGTGCCCTACATAGAACGTGTAGTGGGTACACATATGGTGGAGTATTCGCTCAAGGAAATGGGCATCTTAAATTTATAAGTGCAATCGAAGAGAAGATTTATACAATTTCATACAGCTCTTGGTTGTATGGCGAAATTAATTTAACCACAGTTAATGGAGAACTGTATGCTGCAAGCAGACCAAACTATCCCTTCTACAGAGAATGTAATATACATGTCTTCAGTGACACCAAATGGAATCTTGTGACGAAACTGAAATGTCACAATTTTTTATTTTTTTCACGTAGAGATTGTATTTACATTTTAAACAAAGATACCCAAGAAATTTACGAAATAAAACCAAAAGACGATCCTGATCATATCCATATTCTGACGCAGTTTGCAGAAGATATTAAAGTTACGCACGTAATTGCTCTAGAATACTGCATTTTGTTATTTTGTTCCGAAACTCAAAACGGGTTAGAAGAGACAGCAGTTCACACATTTGATATTCTATCTAAAGTTTGGACCAGACTAGACAATCTTGATGGACCAGCAGAACATTTAATTAGTTTCAAGAATGGTACACACAACTACATTTTACAGGCAAATGGCAGTTTGTGTTTGGTTCTTTATTTACATGACAGTAGAAAGATCGAGTTTGAACAAATTGCTAACCTTTGGACTTGGAAAACAGTGCTACATGGCGCGTTCACTTACAAGAAGAAACTTATAATTGTTGGATACCAATCGCAAATCAACCCGGATGGAGAACAAAAACTAGAAGTTCCAAATCACTTTAAATTGATCAAGCACTGGCAATTTTTTTGTACAAGGTCTAATGTAGCTCCTTTAATAATACCAACAGCTTCCCTTAGAGAGAATAGCTATTATTACTAATAAATGTCTAACTATGCTAAACATATATTGTTTTTTTTACACACAAATATGATATACATACATATGATATATGTATGTATAAAATTGAATCTTTATTTAAAATACTCTTTTATTTGACAGTGAGTTAATTTTGTTTACCTTGTATATATATACTGTCTGTACCAGCGAGCTGATTTTTGAAAAATAATTATTGGTCTTCATTCAACTATTTATTTTGTGGGTGTTTCAAATTTTAACACTTTGAATATCAAAGCGCATGCTGTTAATGCTGGTCTTATAGCTTTTGAATTATTTGACATATATTGTCTTTATGATATGAATTAAAAAACGTTTCATATTCGTTCAAAAACTATTATTTTATTTACAAATATAATAATGTAATAAAATAAGTGCTACTTATAAGCATTTGTTTTCTCACAAATGTATTTTGAAGTTTTATAATTTAACTAAGTTATGAAAAACACAAATACTTTTAATATATTCACATAATTTTAACAAAACTTTTGAGTAATTTCGTTATAAATTAATTGCTATACTTTACATTTTTGTTAAAGGCATTCTTAAATGTTAAATTTGCATGTTTTTTCCCCCAGTTTTTTTTAATTAAGTTAACACGATACGATTGAGCTTTACGACGCATAAAACAACTTTTACTTAGACTATTGAATCAACAATAAAACCAAGTAAACAATGATACGTTCACGCTTTCCATCCGCGAAACGTAAGTATTTTTAAATTGAAAATCAACATATTTATTTATTTATTTACGTCTTATCACAAACAGAACTCGTCAAAGCAAATAGTATATTGCAACGTATATACAGACAAAATTACATGTATTGTAAACAACGCTAACCAATCAAACGTTATAAAAATATAATGCTGTTTAACATTTATAATCTCCCATGCAAAGTACAAAAGGTACATAACTGGCCAAATGTGGCATTAACGTTTAAAATTAAAACATTTTTTGTGTGTTAATAATATAAAATCTATTTGTAAATGAAATTCGACACATTATCACCCTTGACTTTATTAACTTCTTAATATCTTTTATTAACGTGCTTTCACTATATATATTGCATTGCACTCGACTTATCTATCTCTATACTACTAAAACTCAACTTTGTTTACATGTTTGAATATTTATTTGTTTGTCTGATTTACTACTGGAGAAAATCTGCCATATGTATAGACCTGTAAAATAGTATGTAGGTAGAGAACAATTTTTCTTTTCAGACAGACTGTTAATCACAAATTTATTTAAAGACGTTAATTAATTTATTGATTTACTAATTGGTAGATTAAGCATATTAATTTTAAAAGTTTCAAACAATAGCTTTATTTTGACTGAATAGTGACGTCACTTTATTTGTTTAATTTTTGGTACAATAAAATGGCGGCTTCTATCGAAGAAGATTGTGTTCCCATTCCAATGTTTAACGCGTTCTAAAGCTAATTTTCTTTCGGCTATAACTTTAACAATACGTCCGTTTGCTGTATTTATTACATTCCAACACTTATATCAATTTTCATCTGTCTTTTTCATTTAGTTTTACAATAAATTTCTCTAGCTCTATAATCTGTCCAAGAAAGTTATTTATAGATCTAAATATCAGGTGGCCAAGAAAGTTATTTATAGATCTAGATCTAGAATCTAGGTGAAACCAATGATTAATTAGATACAAACCAAAGATTAATTAGATAAAAATACAATCCATTTTGAAATCATAATACATTTTTTTAGTCCTTAAATACTTGATATAAATCTTTGTGATTTATCAATCTAGATCTAGATCTATCTAGAATAGGTCTAATCTAGATCTAGCAAGAGTTACGCAAAAACTAGACTTAAGACTTAAGCAAACGAGTCGTAGAATCTAGATCTAGGGTAAAGAAGGGCGTTAAGAGCCGTGTGGTATTAGGCCCCAATTAACACCCCACCCCCACAAAACCCACAATAACACTGCTAATCTACTTCTGAGTTAACAACCACTGCTATTCTTTGATAACAGAGAAGCAGAGGATTCATTTTATGTAATTTATGACCCACTTGGTCCAATAAAACTATTTTGTGAACTTTTTTTTCAAATAGACATAACTTGGGAAACTTTACTTAGCAATAAACCAAATGAGTTTTTCAAGCCAATTCTTTGTTCCTGTATTAGAGCATTGGTTGTTGTACATTTGAACACTATTTTTATAGCTATGGCTAGAATAGTTTTATTTTGGTGAATTTTTTTTGCACAGTGATTATTGGTGCCAAAACAAAATGGCCGACATTTGTCCTATTTTACCATGCTATAAAGTTTTTATCATTATCAGAGTAAAACTTGACTGCTCATTACCATAATAGTTTTATTTGTTAGATAATAACTAAATCTACATGAATACATTAATTTTGTCCACTAGCATGCCTGTTCAGAAAAGTTATAACAGATACTGTTATGTGGCTCTTGATACCCTATATGCAAGTTTCTCATTTATTAGACCAATGAATATGACACTGGTATAGGAATAGTTAACACAAAATGTATTAATTGTTAAACAGACTTGTGTCTAAATGATAGAAATACAATTCTAACCTGCTAAAAAGTAAAAATTCAGCCAGATAATTTTTAAAATGGTACACATACTTATTACCCCTAAGGGGCAATACAGCCGACTCAGCCCCCACCTGTTTCTAACCAACCATAAAACTTCTAATCTCTTTGTAGGTAAGAGGAATAAACGTTCTTAGGTCTCAGCCAATCTAGGGTGGTATGTTATGTAAGTTATGACCCTCATGGTCCAGCAGGGAAGTAAACAGACACATTAATACCACTGCTCCCCCCTTACAATTTCTTACCCCCATGATACCCAGCCCCCACCAGTTTCTGGCACACTATAAAACTTCATCTCTTTGTAGGTAACATGGATTACAGTTCCTAGATCTCAGACAATCTGGGGTGGCATGTTATGTAATATATGACATCCTTGGTCTAGCAGGGTGGAGACCAAAGAGGAATCAACACCACTGCTCCCCCCTCACAATTTCTCACCTCCATGATAGCCAGACCCCACCTGTATCTAACCCACCATAAAACTTATCTCTTTGTAGGTAACATGGACTTAGTTCTTAGATCTCAGCCAATCAGAGATAGCATCTCCTTATGTAATTTATGGCCCTCAGGGTCCAGCAAAGAGAACAAAGGGGAAACCAGTACCACTGCTCTCCCCTCACAATTTCTCACCTCCATGTCATGTTAAGTAATGTATAGCACACATGGCTTATCAGGGGAAAGCATTAAGGCAAATTAGTTAGTACCACCCCTTTTTACATCCAAGAATGTTAAACTCTGGACAGATACACACTAGTATACTAGCTACACACTAGGCATACTAATGTGCCTACTGTAAAGTACTAGACTGTAGGTCCTATGTACACCTGCAATTGTATCAATTGTAGACTGGACCCTTTGGGGCCTAGTGCTAGCTAGTATCAGTTAAAGTGTGTGTACACAGCTTTAACTATTTTGGGGTTAGAAATTAATTATTTTTATTGTGGAGTTAGTCTAAACTAGGAGATAATACTTACTGCCCCATTGCCTGGCTCCTTATACCCCAAATGCTGATTTTTGGGGTATGACAATAAATGTTCAATTAAACCCATTTAAAGTATATTTAATAGACTTTGTTATTATTTTTACATTGTGTAAGATATGTTAGAATAATTTTGCCATATTTTCAATACTAAGAAATCTTTAAAAATGTACAGGCGCTAAAAAGTGTGGCTCTTAGTGCTCTTAGATAATTCTATCTAGATCTAGGTAATTTCAGACTTCATTATTTTATATAAATCTTTGTTTATTTAGCTATGTAATTGGCTAATTTAAGATAAAATTTAATTTTAAAATTTCTACTACTAGACTTAGATCTAGATCTATGCGCGTAAATGAAGTTGCATAAGGAGACACAAAGTATTAAACTATACTATAAAAAAAAACATCATGCGGGTGGCACGGGTTCTAGACCAATACGTAAATGTTAAATTTTTTTTTCAATTTTTAATTTTTTTATAGATGTTGTTGATAAAGTTACTTATCTGAACTTGGCGGGAGACAGGGCAGGTGAAGTAGAGTTCATCTGTTTCTTTGTCCTAAGCATATGAAAGGATAGTGTGGTCAGAGACATGCTCGGCTGGAATCGTTTTTTAAACGATAAAAACATGTGATCTGAGACTTGGCGGGACACTGGGCAGGTGAAGTAGAGTTGAGTAGGTCACCTGTGACGTCAGTATATGAAGGGATAGTCCGAAATCGGTGTTTTCGGTGTTTTTAAAAAATAAAAAACATCTTTTTGAATTTGAGGTCTGGTTTTTTTGTGACGATAAGTGACAGACGTGATGTTTTTATGGATGACCCTCGAAACCCACAGTTATCCAAGGGATGACGGGTAGTCTAGTATACTACTAAAACTTAAGTTTGTTTACATGTTTGAATATTTTTTGTTTGTTTGTTTGTTTGTTTGTCTGATTAAATACTGGAGAGAATCTGCTCTATGTGGAGAGCTCTAAAATAGTATGTAGGTAGAGAACAGTTTTTGTTTTCAGAAAGACTGTTCATCACAAATTTATTTAAAGACGTTAATTAATTTATTGATTTATTCATAAGTAGATTAACCACATTAATTTTAAAAGTTTAAAACATTGACTTTACTTTTTGGGAATAGTGACGTCATATGATTTGTTTTCTTGTTAGTACAATAAATGTCGACTTCAATCCAAGATGTAGTTGCCGATTCAGATGTTTAACGCGTTCTTAAACTAATTTTCTGTCGGCTATATATTTAACAATACGTCCGTTTGCTATTTTTATTACGTATATAAGGTGGATAGTGTGTTTAGAGCCATGCTCGGCCAGAATCTTTTTTTTTTATAATAAAACATGTTGTCTTAGACTTGGCGGAACACTGGGCAGGTGAAGTAGTGTTGGGAAGGTGTAAAGTTCACCTTTGACGGCAGCATATGAAGAGATACTGTGGTCAGACCCACGCTCAGCCAAAATCTGTTTTCACAGACAAAAGCATGTCTGAGTTGGAAGGACACTGGGCAGGTGAAGTAGAGTTGACCTGTTTTTGTGACCTCAGCATATGAAAATATTATGTTGTCAGACCCATGCTTAGACGAAGTCAATGTTTTTTAAAGACAAAAACGTCTGAGGTGTGAGGCCTTTTTGAATGTAGAGTCTGGTTATTTTGTGATGATAAGTGACAGACGTGATGTCATTTATGGATGACCCCCGAAACCCACAGTTATCTAATGAGAACGGGTAGTCTAGTTTTTCTAAAAACTCAAAGACAATAAAAATTGAGCAAACTTCATATTGCACACATTCGCCATTAAAGACAATAAGTATTCTTATACATCACACACGATAGACACAGACGATGCAAGTAAAACTGTATTAATGACTTTATAATAAAGTGAGACAAATGAAATTCATTATTGATTAGACTTAATATAACTCTTTGTTAATTAAATAGCAGTAGGGTGTTATAATATATATGAAAAATATGCGTAGACCAAACAGCAATATTGATAAGATTTCCCTTTCATTCCTTATTCATGTTTAGGCAATTCAAGATGTGTTATACACAAGATAAATTCTTATAATATGGCTCATAAAAACATTTAGCATAAATATAATGTGATTTGTTTTACTGTTTGTATATAACTTAATAACATAACTATCAAATAATAAACACTTAAAGATTCTAAATTTTAATTCTATAAAGTGAATTGAACAATTCAGAGAAATTGGATTTTCCCGATATTATTTTTCAGTGTTAATAGGAAAAGAAGATAAGCCATTTTGTTTCACGTCTGTAATACAAAACTAAAATAATTTTAAGGTATTACTGATTTAGATCTAAAGAGAATTTAAAACTGTAATGTGTGTTTGGATGTAGTTTACACAGTAGCGTACGCAGGGGGGGAGCAGGGGGAGCGGCAGCTCCCCCTCTGGCCATTTTCAGCAAAGTGGCGCCTTTTTGGAAACTTTTTAAACTCAAAGTTTTAAACAATGATATTTGTTAAAAATATTTTTGGTCGGCACATCTATGTAAATCACAAGATTTCTTTTCATGCAGCAATTAAGCATTATTGTACTAGTCTAGTAGTGTCTACGTTTACAGCACGTATTAACAGCTGCATCAGTTTGCCATTCTAAGAATAACCATTACGATGCATTGGAATTTTAAAAAATCTTCTACCGGTAGTACCACTTGGCAAGAGGGGTGTTAAGTTTAAGGCAACTGTATAATGTATTTGCTTACGAATAATTGCATTAGAAAATGTTATACATAAAACTTCACACATAATTACTTTAAATATACAGTTTGAATCGTGTGATTAATTTTTTTGAAAATTACAATACAGAAGGAAATACAACTGTCGTGGCACCTCTATTTAAATTTACTTATGAGCAAACTGCGTAGTGGTGGGGAAATTTTGACACGATCAACAACGTCATCACGATGAAGTGGTAGTATTCTTACAGTTTGGGCGATAGTGATTACGACTACAAATTATATGAAACAGTTACAACCCCCCCCCTCCCCCATGGACCCCTCTGTAAAAAAAAATATTGTCATAATACCACTGCTACTTATTTAAATCTAATTCTGAATCAGTATACACGTGTAATATATATGTATGTTTAGAACAGTCATCTAAAAACTGACGCTATGTTCACTCTGAGTTGGTTATCTCCCCCCCCACACCTCACCACCACAATTGTGTAGAGCGACATTAATTTCACACCTAGGTATCCACTGGGTTGTATAATTGACCTAAAGTGACCGGACAGTAAAAAGGTGTGTGAGCAATACAGTGATCTAACCCATACCTATCACTATGTTAAAAAATGATCTTTAAGGAACACAAAGAAGCAGTAGTTAATTTAAAAAATATATGATCTGAACTAAAAGACCAATATTTCGATATATGTAGGCTGTTATTCCGAATGTTTTTCTTTTATTTCGAAAAGCGTGCTTTTATACCAACTCTGATTTCAAAAGCTTTCATTATGCCGTAATACTTTAGCATTTATGATGACGATATATTTAATTCTGATTATAGACAAAAACATTTTTTTAACACAAATAGTGTTAAACAGATTCATTATATTCTAAAGTAATTATTTATTTGTTTTGACATTTATAATTAAATGTGTAGATATATACATATTTATATTAAGAGAGTGATTATTTCCCCTATTTCACTTGTCTTAAATAATTTCCCATGAATTATTATGTAAGAAATTTTTTTACAAGAATTACACAACAGATTGTGTTACGTTCATTGTTTTTGGTTGTAGTGTGTGTATATTTTTTGTTTTTTTGTTTAGATTGATACAATTTTTGTTTTGTCGGCCTACATTGTGTTTTTTCTTATTTCTTCGGAATGCTACTTACAATTTATTTTACATCTTTGCGAAGTAATGACATACAGCTAGTAATTTTATATATATATATATATATATATATATATATATATATATATATATATATATATATATATATATAATACACGTATATAATAAATAAAATACACGTATATAGAACGTGTTAAAAATTCGGCGCCTTTTTTTTTTGTTCTTTTCGCTCCCCCTACAACGAAAACCTGGATACGCCTCTGAGTTTACAAAACGAAAATTAAAACAATAAATAGTAGTCCAAATACTAAATAATATAAATGTAGGTTCACAATAAAGTGTAGCCATTTTAAAAGTTAGGCAATAATATTTAAAATAGACCAATTTATAATATTAATAAACTAGAATTACTTTATTAGTCAAAAGTTATTTTCCAATTTAGGTTAGTTTTAAATTTTATCATTTAAAATATAAGTCTAACATATAATATTTCATAATATGTAAACGAAAGAATCTGACTAAGAAATTAAATGGACTAAAAATGTATCATATAAGTAAAATAAACTGAAAAAATATGTATTTTGCAGATGTATCAGCACTTAAAGAAACATTTGTCTGGTCAACTTGAACTATTGGATGAGTCAAATGTTTATCTACAGAGTAGCATCAGTGATTTTGTACAGCAGGTAAATCGTAATGGTTTTATTTGCATTGGTGTGCATTTTTAGTGACATGCTTCACTTGTTATCTAAAGTAATATGTTATAAAATATATTATTATTTATGTATAATATATTTTTTGCTTTATATTATAAAGCATTAAATAAAATCTTCTAAATGTCATATAATTTTTTTGTATATAGTATATTGTGTATAACATATTCCTTAGATTCATCTACATTATGATCTGTTGATCATATTTATTTTATTTGAAACACCCACTTCATCCCATTAAATTTATCTACATAGTCTGTGGGAAAAAAACCCTTTAACTGTAACTAGTTAAACACAATTTAGCATGCAAGACCATCATTAGTTCTACAATATTTGCATTGTTCAAGATTAAACAAATCTAATCAATCATTTTAATAAACTTTTCTTACATGTCAAGATTAAACTAATCTAATCTATCACTTTAATACACTTTTCTTACATGTCAAGGTTAAGATCAGAGCCACTACTGACTCAAATAAAGATGTAAAAGATGCAATCGCTATGGTAACAGCAGCTCAAAGTACTTTGCATGATCTCACATATAAGTTTACAGGTAAGGTCATCATTTTATAAAACATATTTTGATATAAGCATATTGTTGCTTTGTTAACAATTATTTAAAAATTATACTTATTATAAAATAATTATTACTGAAAAAAAGTCTTTTATTTCAAAAAATATTATTGAATACTAGCCAAAATGATGTATGAAATAGCCATATTATAATTAAAACTTGCCACTGTATATAAAACTGACAATTTTCTGACCATTTCTTGATTTAGGTTAATGTTAACTGATGTGTATCATGTTTATATCTTGTTGACAGAATCCACCAAGCTCTACCCTCCCACTGTGATAACAGGAGAAAAGACAACACCAGAAAGTGTGCAACCAACAGACAGCAGATTTATTTCTAAAGATTTATTATCTGGTACATTTAATTATACTTCCTAAAATGTAAATTACTGAACAACTCACAAGAAATGCCATTCATAAGAAAAGTATAGCCCCAATCAATAATGACAAGCAGTATAATTAAAACAATAATAGCATTGTATATGAATAACATGATATGTAATATTTTTATTTTAATATTTTTATTTCATTCTATTTCATCTAATGTATTAAATCAATACCACAAATAGTATATTTAATTTACTCTACATTTCTTGTACTCAAAGTATTTATATTAACATTACTCTTATTTGTCAATATAAGTAAAATTTTTGTTTAGTCACCTATTACCACATTTTAATATTTTACCTAACAGATGAATACAATTCTGAAATATCTAGACGACTAAAGGATATTGAAACAACTTTATCATCCCTTCAAGACACAAAACAAACGACTGAAGATGACATATCAGAAGTAAAACAATGGAGAGACAACTTTGCAACAGAGCAAAGTGATATAGGGATAAAAATTGAAAAGTTGTCCAAGAAACATAAACAAAATTTTAAAAACATTAGGAAACAAATAAATGAACAAGATAACAAAGTTGAAAAGCTTTATGAAGAAATTGAAAGTTTTAAAGAAAAAGAATCAATATCTAATAAAATGTTAGAGAAAATGTCAATAGATTTGATAGATTACAAAAACAATTTAGACAATATGAATAAAGAGATACAGGTTCAGATAGATAAAAAAGAAAACTTATCACAAGAAATTAGGAGCCATTCAGATTTGATATCAACAATACAAGACGATGGAAAGAAAAACATTATACATACAACTAAATTGTGTGAAAATATACTGTCTAAGGTAATAATTTATAAAAGTTGTAGTAAGCTGATTAACTTTTATCTGATAACTTTTATTTAAACTGTTTTATATCACTCAATTTATGCTCATTTTGACATACACTTTGTTTAATATGAATTTCTTTTATATGCATTACTAACAATTATCTTATTCAATAGCAAACTGTTATATGTAAACTTCTACAACAAAGATTGATGCCTATTGACAAATTGATTCAAACTTTTAATAGACATTTTGAGATTAAGGAGAGAAAAGTGAAGGTAAAATAACTGTATAGATTGTTGTTATACATATTTTAATATTTTCCTTAAATACTTTACACTATATTGTATTTATATATGCTATACTATATCAGAATATTATATAACTATGCAATAGTAAAATAGAAGATTTTTTGTCATGTCATCTTTTAAGTGCCTCTATGCATTTTATAATTATGACTGTGACTTACTCCTCTTTAGTTCTTGTGGAGCATAGGCCCTCAACCATAACCTTCCATTTTGTTTGTTCCCATACTTTTGTTTTTGCAACCTCCAAAGACCCCTTCTATCTTCAGTTCTTCAAGAAGACTCTGCCTCCAGGTCTATCTTGGACACCCTCACTTTCATTTTCCCTGGGGTTCCACTCAAGCACATGGCTTCTCATATTAGAATGTTCTTATTATACAATCCATAACAATAAACAATAGAAATGTATAGTTATGCCACTTTTAATTTGTATGCACAGGAGACTAGGGGTAATTATACACCTGACATTGTTTTTATCTTAAAAAATAGAACTAATACGAACACAAAATCTCATAGGCTTTAGTGCACAAGTTATATTCATATGATAGTAAAAGTAAAAAAAGAATTAATAAAAACAAAAATAAAAAATCTTCAGATATTTACCTTTTCATTAAAAAATTTTTAGATGCTGAAGTAATACTTTAAAAAAAGCTAAAACAGTATTTAACAATATATTGAATTCAAATAAGAAATTTAGAACAAGAAGATCAGATTAAACTAAAAAGAATGACTATTATGGATTATAAATGTGATGTATAAATCCTATTTTAAACTAGCAGACTGAATTTTTCTTGTACACTCTAGTAATGTGTCTTAGTTGTAAATTTAAAGCTGAATAAGGTAACATGTGTCTTCTGAGATATACAGTTTATAATATAAATTAAATAAGCTATTTATTAGTTATTGTTTTATTCTTAGATTGAAACTCAGGAAAAAGATGTTTTAACCTTGTCACCGGATTCGCAGACATTTGGTAAGTAAAATAATGTCACATAACGAACATAAATAATTTATACATGATAATTATAAATACCAAGCTAAATTTTTTTTCATCAAATGAAAATTTATTGCATTATATAGGCCTGTACTAGGTGTCGGCCAGTGTGGTATTTTTAAGAGTTGTTTTTGTATAACTTTTTATTTTGATAAAAGGATTTTATTTTTACCTATACTTTCATTAGAAATTAACTTAAAGTAAGCTCTTTAACAAATTGATTATGTATATATTAAAAAAAAATTCCTCACGAAAGTGTAAAAAAAAAATTATAATCCATCATGAATATTAATTTGAACACACTTTTTCTCAAAATAATGTAATATAAAAAAAATTAATTTTTATGATTATAAAAAAAGAGCTTTTAAACTATAGAATAATGTCATGGAAAAACGTGTGTGCGTTTTCTGATTGTTATTATTGGACTTTTTTCCCCTTCATCCTATACCAGAAATGTAATGATCGTTAAAGTTGGAGACATGTTTGGTTACTTGAGAAAGGGAAATAACCCACCTAAAGTAATTTTAAAACCCAATTTAGCCAATAGCTAGAGAGTTATACAATTAAATGTAGTTTTCCGTTTTTTGGGCGAGCCCTACAATTCTATTACGTGTCGTGGACAACAACCGCCAAAATATTGTTGTTTTTTAAATTAACAAACGATTGGTCCATAATGTGTATGGTTTGGTTATTGTGTGGTTTACGGGCATTCAATAAACAGAATGTACAACTTACTGATTACTTAGAAAATATAATGTTTTGAATGTGTGTTTTATAAATCTATGCACAATAATTCGTGGCTTGATTGGGCGGAATAATATTGTGATAGTTTATAAATTAAGTCTATTGGACATCATTTGTGTAATTTATTTTTATAATGAGTAAAGAAAAAATGTATGATTTTTATTTCTTGAAGCCAATCAACAAGTTATACTTCCTACACTGGGGTTTATTGCTTCACAAGGAGGGTGGAACGGGATGTTGCATTTCGAAAACGAAGTTATTACTTTCAAGTCTGTAGAATGTAATGTAGGAGACCATTTTAATCCAAACACTGGAGTATTTACTGCCCCTGTTGGTGGCCTGTATAAAGCAAGTCTCACAATAAAACAGACAGGAGATCGTGCTGTAATAGCTGGTGTTTATCACATTTCTGATGACGTCGGATCATGGCTCGGTATGATTGACACAATAGACAAATCCGTTAAAGTTTCAGAAACATTTCAGGTGTATATGAAAGCTGGAGATAAATTATTATCAACAACTTCCTGTGAGGATTTTGAATGTACGCAGTTTTCTTGTTTACTCCTTAACACCTAATTTTCATAAAGAACAATAATTACAAGCAATAACAATGATTTATTTTGTAAAATAAAATAACACACTTTTAGCCATATTAGTACAATACTACAATGAAATTCTGTAAAAAAAATATAAATAAATTGATACTTGTTACCTCTGTGTTATTTATTTTTTTGACCTTCAAGAAGTTGACATTTAGGTCTACATTTTATACGATATTTATGTTACAATAACTTTGAGCATTTGTAAATACGAATGAATAATCAGTAATGCGTATAATGTTACTTATTTGCCAATTATTACTATCGGTGTAATAAGACGATTATGAAATATTATAGTAAATTATTCGGTTTGTTTTCAAAGTAACTAACAGACTGACCATGCGAACAAAGTAAAATCGCGTAACATACAAAGTGCCTATTAAAAGTCTGTCGTTATCTAAAATCCAATAATGTGCATGCATTTTTTAATTTATTGTTAAGCTATCAGCACCGAATGAACGAATTGCTAGTAATCCAACCTTAAACCGAAACCTAATTTGAACGTAGTACTTTTTCAATAAACGTCTTAACAGTTGGACGCTGACAAAAAAACCCCCTTAAACGTGGTATATAATCCGATGTATTATACGTTTTTTAAAATTAAATATGACTAAAGTTATGAAACTGTAACAGTTTGTTCATGTTTACTGTTAGTAAAAAAATTCCTATTGTTTATACCAGGTGAAAATCCAATCATGTTTATTAAGTTTGCCCATATACATAATCCAAAAAAAAAAAAAAAAAGAAAAGGTTTGTCGTAAACTTATTGTAACATGTTGTAATAATAAGTAAACGTACTTAGAATTGAGTAAAACTGTGACTTGTATAACAATGTATTCTTATACTCATTTAAACACAAAAACTGTTATTAATACCGGCGCGAAATTATTGATCGCCCAAGGCATTATTAATATTATTAAAACACCCCCTTTCACTAAAATTAATGTAACTAAAATTAATATATATTAATAAATTAATAAATATAAAGTCACATATTAATTATCAATTTCATAAACTTTACAAGTAGACTACAAATTATATAATGAATTTTTCGTGAATTTTTCCACACTTATTCCTTCAATTCCAGTGTTAAAGCGCATACACATTCTATTAAAATTGCTGCTAAGTCCACGAGTCTGGTTTTCAACATTTATATGTGAAGGCAAGTAATTTTTTTTTAAAGTGCGGGTTCTCGACTATCAACTTGAGTATTTTCAACGAAACAACAACATTAGGTACGCACACATCTTCCAATGTGTGTTGTATTATATAGAGAAGCAAATAAGATGATGATATACTCTTTGGAAGCCCACAAGCTACAACTTGAAGCTCATTGCAAAGATCTTTAGCATCACAACCTTTGCATGCGTTATGCGTCAACAACATTTCTAAGTGTTTGTAGTCAGTAAGTATATCCACAGGTGTCTTTGTGGTGATATTGGAAATTTCATAAAAGAATCCTAATAAAATTTTATGTTGTTATAATTGATGGAACATCGTTTTAAGAGACTGTGTAGTAGAATTCTACTTTGAATTTATGTTTAGGATTTGCGGTACATCGTCTAGAGCAGTATATCCAAACTGCCGTGTGTGTCACATTCTATATTCATCTGGCAAAGTTCTCTTGTTTCTAATTAATTATCGCTATCGGCAGCATTAACTTAAACTTGTTCAAATAATTTTTACTCCTACATTTTATAATAAGAGGTATTTCGTAGTCTCGTGAAGTTCTAATTTTAGAGGGTAGGTGCTGCTATTTTGTGTGTTCTTAAACTATGTGCATGCATCAGTCTCTCTTCTGAAAGTATAGTTGCCATGACAACGGTGGCCATCTAAACAAAGAAAAACAATAACCTTTTTTGGAGGTCTTAAGGTTAAAAAAATAATAATATATATTGACCATTTAATCCTTGATCCTTCTTTTACCAACTGTATTTTTTTTTCTTCTAGTGACTTGTCTTCTTCATGGTCAAAGGGAGGCAACAATTAAATATATTCATTTTACAAGAGCTCATAGGTAACGCCCCCTGTTCTTCTAAAATGCACAAAACACCAAAACACACACAAAACACTGTCATCCAGACAGTTACAAGATACAGTTATATAACGGACGTAGATAATTTTAAAATTATGGACATAAAGAGTGACGACTGTGGTTATAAAAACACCTAAACACTCCCTGCCTACGCCACTGGAACACGCACACAAAAAATACGGTATTTTTTTTCTTGGAGGGAGAGGGGGTGTGTGTAAGGGGGGTATTTACTTGCAATTAGATCGGAAATTCCCTTTAATCGTAAACTTGGTGATGATATAAATCTGTGTACATAGGCCTAAATTGTTTCACTTTTATTTCAGTGTTTATGTTTTTTTAATAAAAGAAAGGTTTTCAACATATCTTTTTCTTTAAAAATTTAAAGGTTAAAAAGTGCTTACAATAATCACATAACATTAGTCTTTATAAACAAAACGAACTTTATTTTAAAGTTTTAAGTGGACGGATTTTCCCGATATAATTTCACCAAGTTAAAAAGGAAAACAAGACTCGCCATTTTGTTTCCAGTCTCGAAGACCGTTTTAAACAACCTAAAGGTAGTGCTGATTTATTTAGAAACAAGGAATTTAATATGTGTGTTAGGCGTAGTTCACACAATAATTTAGCAATACAATAGTCAGCATTTCGCTAATGAAGTTAACTTAAAAGTTAATCCATTCTAAAATAGTATATATCTATGCTAGTTCCAATATGTTTATAAAAAATGTAACTTAACTATAACATTTTGAAAAATTTAAATTATAATGGACGACTTTCTATTTGTTGAAAATAAAATTAATAATTTTCGATATGGAAAGGGCTTATATCCGCCAACAATAGAGGAAATATAGAACTTGCTTATATCCTCTCACATATAGCTTATATATATATATATATATATATATATATATATATATATATATATATATATATATATATATATATATATATATCCTACCGGATGAAATAGGCGATCTAAGCAATTTACTTATTTCCTCTGACAACTTACGCATTACCCTCAATATGAGTTCAATAAGGAACATATTCCTCAGATGTCTCAACTTTTAAAGAAACATGTAGCTACTTTGCTGGAGTTATTGGAACAGTCAAGTTTTCATCTACAGAGTAGCATCGGTGATTTTGTACAACATGTAAATAAAAGTCTTTAACTATATTTTTATTAATTAAAGCATTATATCTATATTTTCAACATGCACAAAACACTCTAACCTTTATTTAAAAAATCTGGTAATGGCGACAACCTGCAGTTCTTAAACTTACAGCAGACCACAACTCCTCTACACTGTATCTAAATCTTGATGACGAAATAGTTGCATTTTTAAAATTATGTTAAATCTGAAACAACGTATCGATTTTTATCACAATATCCTCAAAAATACAGATTAAAACAAAAGCAATGGAATGTGTAGACAACAATTCTGACACCGAAATGACGATGAAAGATGTACTTGCTATGGTAACATCAGCACAGAGTACTATAATAGAACACACTGATATGTTCACGGGTATGTGCATTACTTTGCGATAATTTATTTTATTTATCAAGCATAATGTTGTTTTATTAACGACTGTTTGAAGTGTGTAATATTTAGTGACAACTCAAATAAAATGTGTTTAATGTTATTATTTAAATACAATTAGTGTGAAATAATGTAAGAATTGACTGCCTGATTAAAAACTGTCAATGCGCATCTATCTTACTAAACAATTATCAGTTAGTCATTTAGTTGTATAAGACCTGTAGTTATTTCTGTGTATAACATGTTGACAGAATCCACCAAGCTGTACCCTCTCACTGTGATGACAGAAGAACAGAGAACACCTGAAAGTTTGAAGACAGCAGACACTGGATTTATTTCTCAAGCCTGTAGAGCTGGTACATTTTATGACATAATTATAATCTAAATGTTCATAGATGCACAAGTAATATTACATTCTCTTGTCTCCAATTTATTATGATTTAAAATATAATACCTTGTAATATATTTTTACATTAAAAAATTATGCTTTCATTTGAGTGTTTTACCTATTACACGTATTTAATTTTAATCTAAAAGTTAAATGTAATCCAGAAACATCAAGAACATTAAAGGATATTGAAGCAACCTTATTATCCCTTCAAGACTCAAAACAAAAGACGGAAGATGACTTATCAGAAATAAAACAATGGAGAGACAACTTTGTAACAGAACAAAGTGATGTGGGGATTAAAGTTCAAAACTGGTCTAAGAAACAAAAACAGAATTTTAAAAACTTAAGAAAACAGTTAAAAGAACAAGATAACAAAATAGAAGATCTGAATCAACAAATTAAAAGTTTGAAAAGTAAAGAATCAGACACAGACAAAACACTGGAGAAACTGTCTCTAGATATGAAAGAATATGAAAACAACCTGCACACACTAAATAAAGAGATGAGAGTTTACACAGAGAAAACAGATCATGTAACACAAGAAATTAAAAGACATTCTGATTTGATATCTGCTATACAAGAAGATTCAACAAAAGCATTTGATACTTTATTGTCTAAGGTACATATTAATAATATTTTAATCAATGCATTCAGCTAGACTTTTATTAGTGGCTATACATGAATTATATTTTTTTCTTATCCATACCTATTTATGAGTTATAACACATTTGTAGCATTAAAGTAAAGTTTGTGTTTACACATACAACCCTGTGGCTCTACATCCTCTAATGGCTTTGGTCAGCTTTACAACCTTCTCCAGTATAAAATTATCTGTTTATTTTGTTTTCCACATCTGATCTCTATACTATTGTATGTATGTCTCTACCATCCGTTCATCTAGGTCTGTCCACTGATTATTTACAATTGAGTTTGTTAAACACTACCATAGCCACACTTTACTTGTACTTTAAATCACATAACCATAATTGCATTCATTGTAAAATTTCTGCCAAAATATGAGTTGTTTTATGTGTTTTTTTTTTAAATTTAAATCTTATATTAACACATTAATAGTCATGTAGTTTT